AACGGATCGCCCCCCCCCCCCCCGTACTGCCCCCTCCCTCCAGTCTGCGCCTTCCCATCCAGCACAGGAGCAGCAAAGCCAGGCTGCCTCCACAGCTGGCAAAGGGCACGGAGGAGCAAACAGGGGTTTCAAGGCTCGCCCCAGCCTTGTGCCTGCAGGTTTGCAGACTCCTCCGGCGCTCGTGCGCAGTTCCCTTTGTTTCCCTTGGCTGTCTCCACGGGTTTCGCAGGAGACCCAGAGCGCTCGGTGCGGGCACATGCAGGCGGTGGGGCTTGTGAGTGCATCGCCAGTGCCAGTTACACTGGTTCGGATGTGCACGTGACGCTGGGATAAGGTTGGGGATTTTCACTCCACTGGGGGGGCGTTACGTGCTGTCAGAGCAGAGCTGCAAAGGTGGACAGCATCGCGTGTGCTGGGGTACCTTGGTCTTAAACCGAGCCTGTAGTAGTTCTTGCCCTGCAGCCCTGGGCTGCTCTTAACTACCCAGGGCACCTCCAGCCTCAGCGATAATTGTTGAAGGCCACATGGATACAGATACAATAGACACTGGCACATGCCAGCCCACCAGCCCCCATAGCTGCGGGGTGACGGTGACCAGCCCTTCCCACCCCAGAGCCAGGACGCATGCAGACAAGAAGGGCTGCTCAGCCCCACGGCGTGCATCCTCCCCAAAGTGCCTGCCCCGTGACTCGAGTGTTCGCCCACCACCAACGGCGATGACCCCAAAGCCACCTCCCTCCCCATGGGCTCCTGACTTACGCAGGCAGGAGCCGGGTTGCTGGCGGCAGCAGGGGTGCGTGCCTGTGGCAGACCGACCTGCAGCCCCCACGCTTGCTCAGGCTCTTAATTTCTTCCCAGTACGTATTCTGGGCAGCCCAAAATCTTTGCGTTCACATTCTCAGTAAACATGAACATCCAGACCAAGGGTAACTTTCCCAAGGTTTTCTGCTTGTCCTCCTCACAAATTCTTTATTGCACTGATTAGAAACATCTACCCTGAAAATGTGGGATGGGAGGGATGGGTCCAAGCTATCAAGGATGTTCACAGGCAAGTGCATCTGTTGTGAAGCAAAAAAGGCAACGATACCCGAAAGCAGGGCTTGAGCAAGGACCTACCCCAGCTCTTGGCTGTTCTCCCCAGGCACGTTCTCTCCTCCGGGTTCCATAGGAACATCTTCATCTCCCCAGCCAGGTCTGCCCAGGTTTTGCTCCCCATCTCTGCCTTGGTCTCGTCCTCCCCTCTGTCGGGATCCTGGACCTTCTCCTCATGCTTATTTTCCTGGAAGAGTTACAGAACACAACCCCCACACACAAGCTGAACATCTCATTGGCCAAAAATAAATGCAAAAGCACTTAATAGCTGGAAATGTTTCAAATTTCCATTTTCCCATCATCACTCTTGAGTTAAAGAGAGGCAGTTTGGGCTGTTCTGACTTAAGATCGCTTAGATCCCAGCATCCGTTTTTCCATGACACGTACGTCACTGCTGTCACACCGGGTACGGTCTCCTTGTCCTGCGGTTTACAGAAACTCATCTTTTTCCACCTGCGTGAACATGACCAAAGAAAACCTGTGATCTGGGAGGGCCGGGGTTGTTCCCACGCTTCTGCAACATCTCCCAGCTCAAGTGCACGTTTTCTGTGCTACCACAGAGGACAGCAGGCGGCATTATTTAAGAGGTCATCCAGTTTGTTTTTCTTGGCGTGCAAGCAAGTTTTCAGTCTTTGGAGGAATCCCTCTGTTGTTACTTTTTAATTACACTGAGTTCCAGGGAAAATCACGTCCCCAGCTTTAACAAACGCTGCCGCAGGGCTCGGCCGCTCCTGGCTCGGTCAGGGCCACACTTGCCCGCACTGGCCATGTCTCCCTGAGGCCGCTGAGCTCCCTGTGAGGGAGCCAAGGGCCGTGGACACCCGCCAGCCATGGGCACCTGTTGGAGCCGGGGCCGACAGCGAGATATTTACACCCCGGGGGTCGCCCCGGGGGGAGCCGGGAAGCCGACAGCTTGGCAGAAAGTCTGGCTTGGAAACACCCTTGAATTGGAGGGGGATTAAACTCTGCTCAGATGCATAAATACTGCAAAACAGTGCGAATGGGGCAGAGCACCGACTCCAGTGCCTGAGTTTGTGCCTTGGAGAGCCTGGGGCAGACCCAGGGGGCTGTAAACCATCACCATCACGCTGACTGTCGGACCTGCTTAAAGCCCCGGGGGGGCTCTTCTGGGAGCACGCCTGCGTCAGAGCATGATGCCAGCAAAGCGCCCCTTGCCACCCGTACAGCGACGGCAATGCCTGGCCCAGGTCCTGCACCCTGGGTGAGGCCCTTCCTGAGCCAGCTCCTGCACGGCCACGGCCGGTACCCTGCCAGGCTGGTGGAACCAGAGGATTTTGGAGCAGGGAAGCAGCAGCCCCAGCGTGAGTCGCCAGCAGGGACATGGGAGAGGATGTGCCAGGGCTGCTGGCTGCCAGGACACCTGCAGAGGGGCAAGGGATGGAGGAAGAGGAGGAGGAGGAGTTCTCCTCCCTCCCGTTGTCCTCCCTGTTAAATAAAACAGCTACTGGCAGCTGTTCTGGAAACATTTTCTCAGGCTGCCGGAGTAGCGGGGAGTGCTCGGAGGGACTCCACACCGATGCTTTGCGCTGCTTTGGGAAAAGCCCTGTGGATTTCACACCAGCTGCAGCCCAGGGGCTGCATGCAGAGCCCTCACCCAGGGCTGCTACTGATGCTTAGAGCTGCGGGGGGACACAGGGACAGCCCCCCATGGCTCTCACCCGGGGAACCCCACAGCTCTCTCCTGCAGAGGTTTTTGCAAGGAAGGAAAAGTTCCCAGCTCTCCTGGCTCTGTGCTGCATGTCCAGCATGGCAGCGCAGGAAGGC